ATGTTGTGGCATTTTTCGTTTTCTTCTCTGAATAATTTATAAAAAAATTCTCAAAATTTATTAAGAAATCGAAAAGAGTTTAGAAAAACTAAACGGCTGAATAAAGGAAACATTTAATTTACCATAAAAATAAATGAGGAAAATAAAGAAGTGCTAGCTGACTGCACTAGAAACGCAATAATATAGAAAAATTGTTTGCTAATAATATCTATAAATACTGTTAAAATAAATGATGCGGGTTAAATTTAAAGAAGAATATCGTAAGTTTCCGTTTCTTCACTAATACTATTTCTTCAATCCTACCTTACTAATATTAGAGTGTTGATACTTCCTTTGACGTAATGCGTTCTTTTGAAACATGCACTTAACTTTGTGTGGCAACATAAATTTATTTGTAATATCGTATCATATATATATACATATATTATATTGAGTTTAACGATGCTCGAATATACTTTACCGATTTAGGTTATTAAGGTAATAATCCAAATTAAAATTTTCTTGCATATTGTACGAGTGATTACCGTTTTAATGGTGTACTTATTTACATAAATGTGCTGCACTAATATTTTGAGTTACTTGTAAAATGCGCCTAAATTTGGGTACTTCAGAAACTATTGAAAGCATAGTAACAACTGTAACACGAACGTTGGCATACTCAAGAAATACAATATTAAAATATATATATTTGTAATTTTATGTAGTTATTATACCTTCTCTATACTCCATGTCGTTTACTTTCCCAAGTACAAACATTATGTATAGACATGTGCAAGGCGAGTTTCAGTTGGCATACCTGCAGCCTTCGTAAATCGATAAGTTACGTGATTTTGATGCAATTTTGTTGTTTACATCCTCTTAAACGTATTTTGAAAAATGCATATCGAAACAAACACTCCAGCAGCGTGAAATGCATGTTCCAACGAAGGAAGTGGCTAAACGGCTAGAAGCATTAGGCAAACTAACTGGAGGAATAAACCTTGCGAACGTGACGTGAACATTTATCATGCATTGTACACCATTCAATTGCAATTGCATTTTATTTTGTATATTTTTTTCCGTACAGTAAATAGTTCTTAAACACATTACTTAAGTAAATTATCACAGAAAAATTATAATTATCTATAAGTGCTGGGAAAACTGTCTACACAAGTGTTTGAATGAGGTTTTGTCATTACTAATGCGACAGATTTTCACGCTTGTCATTATACACTGCACAATGATATACAGAAGTGCTTGTACTTGTAAGGAAAAAAGCCTTTCTCTTAAGGACAATATCATTGTGTACATCAAACAAAGAGAAGTGGTAATTATAGTTCGTTTCCTGTGCATCAAAATTTTAACGTTTCGTATTCATTAAAATATTGTTTAAAAAATTAAAAATATAAAAGATTGTTTTACTTTTCTAAATATATACATGTATATAAATTTAAATTTTAAGATATAATTAAATGTATATATTTTGCTTCATTTAATTAACAAGACAATATCTTCTATTTTTAAAATTTGTCATGCCTTTTTCACAACTTAGCAAAGTCATTATAAATGCATATATTCTACATATTCTTTAAAAATGATTTAAAAATCTTGTAAAATCATAATTCGTTGTCGAAAACAAAGATCTTAAGCGACGTAAGCTTTTTTGTCTTCATCTTATTGGTTCCAGATTTTACACACATTCATAATAGCATGTTCCCACTACTTGCTTAGTAATAGCACATTTACACTGTCTCATTTAGGCAGTTTTGCTCTACACATTCTTTAAAAATGATTTAAAAATCTTGTAAAATCATAATTCGTTGTCGGAAGCAAAGATCTTAAGCGACGTAAGCTTTTTTGTCTTCATCTTATTGGTTCCAGATTTTACACACATTCATAATAGTATGTTTCCACTACTTGCTTAGTAATAGCACATTAACACTGTCTCATTTAGGCAGTTTTGCTCTACACATTCTTTAAAAATGATTTAAAAATCTTGTAAAATCATAATTCGTTGTCGAAAGCAAAGATCTTAAGCGACGTAAGCTTTTTTTGTCTTCATTTTATTGGTTCCAGATTTTACACACATTCCTAATAGTATGTTTCCACTACTTGTGCTTAGTAATAGCACATTCACATTGTCTCATTTAGGCGGTTTTGCACATTACAGCCACTAATGGGGATGATTTACCATATAAAGAGCTTTCATATAAATGAGCTTATTATCAATAAATCAGTTCATTTAAGGCGAGAGATGTCGAATGCAAGCCTTAAAAATAAATTTCCCACAAGGGGAATTAACAAAATTTGAAATATGTATCATTTGTTTTATATGTAAAATGTAAACAAACAACAGCTGATCTATAAACACAGGCACTAAAAGAAGTAAGTATTTAATAAAATCTTTGTTTTTATTACTTGAATATGTTATTAATATATAAAATGTATATATAAATGATTTAATATATTAATATATTAACAATCTTTTGTGTGATATATTATTAAGTAAAGTTTTTAAAAGCTTATAAAAGTTCTATAAGCTACATAAATAAGCTCATTATAATGTGAACATTCACTCATTAATACCAATGAGCAAGTGCCTAAATGAGAGACTGTGAATGAAGTATCAGAGTAACTAAGTAAATTTTGTTAACTATACAAGAGCTTCCGTGCTTTTTAACTTACTTAAAAATGAAGTAAGAAAAATTAGACCAAAAATGTCGAATGAAATCCTTAAAAATAATTTCCCATAAGGAAAATGATTAAAATTTGAAATACTTATCATATGTTTTATATGTAAAATGTAAACAAAAAACAGCTGAGCTGAAAACAAACGTATTAAGAAAGTATATATATAATAAAATCTTTGTTTCTATTAATTGAATATATATTAGATTTATAAACTATATATATATATATGATTTAATATATCAATTTTCAGAAATCGCACAAAATGTTTTGCAGCGTAGTGTCATTCCTATCAAAAAAAAATTTTCTGTGATATATTATTGAATAAAATTTTTCTAAAGAAACAGAAGCCCTCTTAAAACTTTTTGACATATAAAAGCTGTTTCACAAGCAATAAGTAACTTATGTCAATGGAGATGACAAAATCCAAAAGTTATTTAAGTGACTTACTAAATAGGCAGTGGAAACATGGTATAATACTCGCTTTTAAGCGTAAATATTCACTTATTCGAAATCTTTTTTTTAACTTGCTACAAATTAAAAAAAGACGTTTAGGTAAAATTTTTATATTTTCAGAGATATTGAGTAATACAAAAAAGTAGTCGCTGTTTTTTGTCACTAGAAGGGCTTGAGCTGACAACAGTAATCATATTATGTCAAACATAGACATGCTTAAAAGGTAGATTATCTTATTTAGTGAAGGCAGTTGTGTAAAGTTATATTGCTTTAAAAACCAGTAAAATATCTGAGGTAATACACTATGTAGTGCTTCTTTACTATTAAAAAGAGAAAACTAATTTCAAAACTTTGAGGTTATTGTGAGTTAACGTCGGACCCTGCAATGGTTTGTTCTATTCCGTTTCAGGAATCAAACATCAACCAATTGACAGCTTGAATCCATTTAAAAAGAACAGATTTTGCAAAGACCCTTGTTGTTTGCAAATCACATGAATTAACACAAAGAAATTGATTGAACAAATTACTGTCAGTGAAACGAGGCTTAAACACAAGAAGATCAAATCAGTTTTGAAACGAATCACTACGAGCGATAAACAATGTACTATGTACCCTATGATAATATTCAACGCTGGCGATCATGGCCAAAAGATGTGTAATATCCATAAACGACCTGAAAGTCTAGCTTGATGACAAACAAAGTTATGTTGTGTTTTTATTGGGATTAGAAGGAAATTGCCTATAACGAGCTGCTCCAGCCTAGTACTACAGCTAATCTGGTACTCTATTGCTTACAACTCGACCGCTTGAATGAAAAAATCAAGACAGAGCGATTTTTGAGCCAACAGAAATGGAGATGTGTGTCATCATGATAATATCAGACCTCGCATATATTTGATAACTTGGAACACATTGACTTGAAAGTCTTGATACATCCGCCGTATGACTAGGACCCTGCATGGTCTGACTAGCATTTGTTTTGATCTCAGTAAAATATTTTAATTGTTTAAAGTAGGAATTTAAGTTGCTTTATTATTAAATTAATGAATTTAATTGTTCGTCATTCACTCTATTTATCTTCCTTGGTGAACTACCAGCACTACCCCAAATTAATTGTAAATTGACCGCCCGAAGAGCCGCTAAAAATCACTTGACCACGTTTTTCACCGACAAACCTCAAAAGTTCTACATTAACGGAATTATGAAGTAATCCCAAAAATAGTAAGAGGTCTTAAATATTAATGCCCTATATATAGTCGATTAAAATTAATTTTCAATAAAGAAAATTTTTGTTCAAAAATGTACAAAATATGTGTGAGTATATTTATAATAATAAAAACAAAACGATATTATATA